TCCACCTGTATCCTTAAACAACTGTTTTTTCCCCATCTCCTCCACAAGTTATACTGACATCAAATATAGTGAAAGCAGGGGTTATACTGGGGGGAGGGACATACAAAGCAACAAAGAGATAAACTTATAAATGCGTTCGAAACACATGTATGAAAGAAAAAACATTAAAATACATATCTAAGGGTTCATTTTCTTGACATCACATTATCTGACCTTTTCCGCTTGACTCATACATATACTAGATATTGCAAATAAGGGAAACCATGGGACCTATGTTTCTTTTTCTTTTTGCTTATGTGGTGCTGAGGAATTGAACGCAGGGCCTCATGCATGCAAGACAAGCACTCTACCACTGAGCCACCTTCCCAGCCCCTGCCTCTGGTTTTGTTTGGAGGCACATCCTTAACCGCTCTTCCCTCCATTTCCTTATTCCAGAGATCCAAAGTCCCTTTATGCTGTAGTATTCTAATTGTTTATGATTTTATATTTTCCCCCAACTGTGTTTGATCCTTTTGGAACTTCCTCTTGGAGCCTTGTCCCTGGGCAGGTGGCCTGCTCTACATTTTTCTTTGAGTAGAGCTGAAGTGCTCCACCGCTTCTTGAGTATCGTGTGTGGCAGTATGGAAGGACAGGGCTACCTTCTTGTCCTCAAAGACACAAGGCTGGTGGGACTCGCTGCAGTCACCATCCGGTTCTTACTGGTTTCTGCAGTCCCAGCTGTTGCGAATCAGTGCAAGCTCTCACCCATGTAGGCCAGCCGCCAGGGAAACTGTATTGAGAGACCCCGGATTTAACCTGTTCACCTATGTGTCTCCCGCCAGGTGGTGTAGGTGCTCGTTCACCATCAGAGGCCCATCTTGCTTCAATTGACAGCAACAGGGCTCTCTCTCTCATTTCAAGTTTATACTCTTTGGGATCCCCCACACTGCAGGTCTCTCAGCTAAGCACAGACTGAGGAAGACTGCCATTCTCAAACATAATGAATGAGTCATTCAGATACAACCCAGCCCGTATCTCACCCTTCCAGTACCTTCCCTTGAGGGTTTCCAGAAATCTCTCACAAGACCTTCCAAATATCAAAGCACATTTTTGGACTAGGGGGTGTGGCTTAGTGATAAGAGTGCTTATGTTATCTGTAAAGGTTCAGAGTTCAATCCCCAACACTGTTGGGAAATCTGTGTGTGTGTGTGTGTGTGTGTGTGTGTGTGTTGGGAAATGTGTGTGTGTGTGTGTGTTGGGAAATGTGTGTGTGTGTGTGTTTTAATAGGGTCTCAGAATCTACCCAAGGCTGGCCCCACACCTGGTTTAAAATTGCTTTTTTTGAGCAATAGGTAGGCCAGGAGGCATATAGTACCTTAACATGCTTGCTACCTTAAAGGAACAGTGGCTCTTGGATTTTCTCCTTGAAATAGCCTACAGCCTATTGGTGTAGCTATTTTGAATATTTGCAGAAGTTAAATTGTGTGGAATAGTCACACATGCTAAAGAAGCACAAGAAGAGCATGAGAAACTGAGCTAAGAGAGTTAAACACATCACCAGGCTGCCGGAGATGAATTGGAGAACAGATGACAGACGCTCTGAGCTAGAGGAGAGGCGGGTGCTCCTGTGCATGCGCCAACCCAGCACACGAATGAATCTTCCCGGTCCTGCATGAGAGTTCCCCAACGCTGGTTGAGCCGCTGCTAAGTAAATGCTGCCTCTGCTCTCCCATGGCCGAGGGGTGAGGAGGCGTCCGGGCTTGTGTGACAGTCACTGGAAAAAGTGGGAGCACTTACAGTATCCCCATGGTTTGGCTGACTTTCACTCGGAAGAACTTTCTTCTCTTTTTTTTTTAACGTTAAAGAAGTCTTTAAACCTCATCCACTATGCATCCATGTCTTGCTTTCTCGAAAAAGAGAATTCAGGAAAATGGCTGATAAGGAGCCCTTTCCCTGACCTGACACAAATGGTAATTTGCTTCCTTTCTCTTCAGCCAACCTTTCTCCATGGCTGAGACAATCTCACAGCCCTGCCCATTCTGAAAGTGCATTTCCACCCCTCTGCAGTGGGCACCCGGAGCCTGGCAACCCAACATCAGGGCAGATCTGAAATATGAAGGTCCAGACGTGGTGCTCCCCTCCTGCGTCCACACACTGTTTCCCTGGAGATCCGGTGAGGCCGCTGCACACCTAGCACCAGATACACTTCTGCCTATTCCTGTGCACGCCACACTCTGCCATGCAGCCCTGCCTGGCATTCTTAGCCTTCCCGACCCTCTTGTGGCCAGGAGACAAAAAGATACCTTGTGATTGCTTGCCTGGTAACACTCGAATCCTGCGGACGCTTCTCTGATGCTTTGACAACTTTCTAGGTCCTGATTAGGGGGCAGGCTGTGAATGCCTGGAGAATCAGAGTGAGGACAGAGTCCTCGCTGGCCTGGGCAGTACCATCAACCAGGTGCAGGTGCCAGACAGAGCAGGAAAACTAATTTTGTCATCCATCTGTAGTCCCTGCAGGGGGACCAGGCCATCAAGGCCACAGAGCCTGGCCCTGGTACCTTATCCCTATAAGGTACTCCCCCCCCCCACCTCGTGATCCCTCAACCCAAAGGCTTCTTTTATCCATCCACTAATCTGGAAGAATGCTTCCTTGTCCTACCTGCCCCGAGGAAGGACTTTGATAACCATCCAGTACTCTCTGCTGAGAAAGAAGACTGAACTGGAAACAACAGGGGAGAAAAAATTAGGAGAACTTCAATTCCTCTCTCTTTCAAAGCAGAGAGATGAACACATCCACATCCTTTTGGGATGGGGAACGGGGATGCCCTCCTCCCAAATGTATCAGCACCAACCATGAGGCTCCAAAACGCAAGATGCAAGAGGGTGAAGAGGAATTGGCTCCTGCAAGCTGGTCAGGGTCCTAATCTTCATACCTTCATCTAGAAACTTTGCTCCCGGGACAGGAGAATTGGATCACTAAGCCAGGACACCAAGATCAGCAGTGTATTAAGAGATAGCAAAGCTGTACCTGAGCAATAAAAAGAAATTCAGCTCAACATGCCGATGGAGTGAAGTAGGCTGGATGTGGAGTTGGATACAGCATCCCTATTAGGCTACAA